ACCCTCTAGGGCAGTGGTGTCCAACCTTTTTATGGTGCAGATCACTTTTTGTAAGTGAAGGGCACACCAGGGTCTACCAGCCCCACCCCACCCCACCACCTCTCAGGATCAACTGTCAGAGGCTCCATGATCAACCAGTCGATCAAGATAGACTGGTTGGTGACCACTGCCCTAGGGCCTTCCCAAGTACCCCCGGAAGTATGCATACCCCCGGTTGACAACCCCTGGTTTAAAAAATGTCTGATTATTCAAAGGAAGACAAACTATTAAAAACCTAGGTCTTCATGAGCAAAGACTGACAGTCAGACCAAATTGTGCCAGCTGAACGGTTGTAGGATGCTCAGACTCTGTGGTGATGGGTGTTAATCTAAGAACCTGGATTGACGGTTAAACAGTGACTGTGATGACACCAGCGTCCTCACTTCATTGTGGTCCATGTCATATCTGAGACCTCATCTCCAGATGTGGACAGGTAGAATGTTAATGATTTGTGACCAAGGTACTGCTGAAATTACTACCTTTAATTTGAAATTACATCCCCCTAAGATAAATTCTTGTCAGCACTAATGATAAAAGGCATAGACATCAGCACCATTGGACAGAATCTAGTGGTGGAAGTAATCAGTAGGGCTGTGCAAAATTTCACTGGCCATTTCGTTTTGACACTGTTTTGACTCATTTCGAGGTCGAAACAGCAAAATCGAAACAAAACAAAGGTCTTCAAAACAGCCTCAAAACAAAACGAGGCTAGTTGAAACGTTTCGACCATAGCACTGGGGATGGGAAGTCAGTCCAGCTGGGCTGACTCCCTGGCCCCAGCCGATCTAGCAAAACATCGAAACAGCCTCGCTGTTTCAACAAAGCAAAACAGAACAGCTGTTTTGAATGGAAATTAAATTAGACATGAAATGCTGTTCCATCGAAACCTCGAAACTCAAGGCAAAACAAAATGGTGCCGTTTCACATAGCCCCTAGTAATCAGTCCCGAAACCATTTCCAGAACTTGTCTCTGTATCTGTTACAAATTGCTAGATCTCAGTAAAATGGCTGGTACCGTTAAGAGACAATAGTCACCATACCAATGTAAACACTATTAATAGGTTTTTATTGTACCTTTCTTCCTGCCAAGGCCTGATACTAAATCTACAAAGCCAAGCGCATGAATTAGCACTTTCTCAGATCTTGACAGCAACTGGAGAAATACTGCATTCCAGCAAGAGGAAAAAATACTGCACCTAGTTTTTCATGTGGCGCTCTGCTTTCACTCTATTTGTGTTATTCTATCTAATGGCAAACATTTAGTTTTTGTTTGCACAGTGAACATCTATTGAGGAGGTTGGCTTTGAATTGCTCATTAAGGCAAGTCTGTCTTATAAAATAAAGGCCAGTTCCTCATAAGAATCTCCGAGCAACACACAAGCATTAATGGGGTTATCCTCATTCTTCTGTGAATTAGGAAGTATTATTTTCCCTATTTTTAAAAAATGGGAATACAAACCATAAAGAGATTGACTTGGCCAAGATCCATACAATATATCTCTGGCAGAGCCAGAAGTGAAGCCAAGTGTCATGACTACAAGACCATCACTCTTTTTTTCTGGCCTGCTCTACAGTGGTCCACTCTTGCAATCCCAGGGCTGGAGCAATCCAATCATTCAGATAAGGAATATTGTTCAGTTAGGAGTGGAAGTTTTAGTTAGTGAATAGAACAAGAAACATTGGGTTAGGGCTGTTGGGTTCCATATCAAGCTCTGCCACTGACACTGCTGCATCAGCTTAGGCAAATCAACATTTGTATATTCTCCCCAAGCTGCAAAACGGGCATAATTTCTTGCAAGTATGTAGTGATTTTTTTAATGCTAGGAATTATTTTAGGCCATCTTCTGTGTAAGCAGCATGACAAAAAGAACTTGAGGAAGCGGTAGGAATGTGGTACGATTGTTTAGATTTGTGCTGCCAACAGTTCTTGTAATATTTTGCCAATTCCATGGGCTTGTGGTCTCAATTTCTTTTCCCCCTGCAGTGCCACAATAAAGTGATATTTAAACAGCTCCTACAGGCTAAAGCCCTGAGCTATCTCCAGATTGACAGCTGCAGACTGGGAAGTGTGAATGAAAACTTGGCTGTGTTGCTGATGGCCAAAAAGTTTCAAAGTAAGGCTTTTGGGAATGTTGCAGTAACACCAAAATGGTCTTCTTCAAGCCTGTCTGCCGTGCAGCTTCTTCAGCTCTTGCATTGTATTCACTGAGTGTCAGCTTGCATGTTTCTGTAATCTGTTGTTTTCTGTCATGCTTCAGCACTATATCAAAATGATTCCGTAATGTAGGGTGTTCTGTTTCCCTAAGGTTGATTTGGGGAAGCGGTGGGCATAGTTGGGATTTGGCACTGCAAGTTAAATACCAACAAAGAATTAAAATAGGATTCTTAATAATCTGGTCATTTGTTCGTAGGTGTAATACATAAGAACTGTTCTGCTTTGATTTCAGTTCCTGTGTGTCCTCACGCTGGGGGTGTCGGGCTCTGCGAGCTAGTACAGCACTTGATACTATTTGACTATATTGCAATATCTGGAAGTCTTGAAAACAGGTTAGTAATACAAGCTACTGCTAAAACATTCAACAGTGGAGGTATTTTACCTTTCCAAGAGGCTTTTGACATATACTTGTCTTTCAGTAGCCATTATGAAGTTTGAAAATCAGGGTTAAAGGGATGTGTTGAACTTCACTGTGCAACTGCCAAAAATGAAGACCCAGAAGTGTTTTTGACTGAAGCTGATTGATAATGTTAGAGCTGTATTCTCCCTTTATCCAGCTTCTTCTGGCTACAATGGCAGCCATGTATATGTGTGACCAAAGTCAAAATATGAACATAGACTGTGGTAAAAGATAGGATGTTACCAAAAGAAGAAAATCCTGCTTCTCTTACCCATGTGAATACCTCTACTGATTACTATGGCTGTTTCCTATTTGTATTGCAGTAGAACCCAGGTGTGTTAAGTGCAGTATAAAATATATGAGACATGGAAGCTAATCTAAAAAGGGAAAATGTAGTCCAAAGAAGGGGAATGCAGTATACAGGCAATGTATTTAGTGCTGAGACATGGATCTTGCTAGGTCCAAACTGATTGATTTGCTTCTTGGAGCTGAGGGAGGGGATATGAGGGAATGTGTTTGGAGGGCACAAAGAGAAAACAACTGAAAAGAAAAAAAATATATAAAAGCATTTGGGTAAAACCATAGTGAGAATGGAGCCCAAGAACAGAGAGGTAAGTAACAAAGGCTCAAAGATGCTAGTGACATACAGCACTGGAGAAAACTTCAGGCGATTGACCCTTTAATGGCAACTCTGGAGCTCTTCGTACAGCCGTCTGGGAAAGCAAAAGGAAGCTGCTGGGACAGCTACATTAGGCATTTTCCATATGGGTTACTAAAATGGAATTAGCAATCTTCTCCAAGTGGTGTAGTGTTCCAGGCAGAGCTTCCCAAAAGGATCAAACAACTTCTCTTGTCTTTTTAAAATATACTATAGGACAGTGGTTCTCAGTCTTTTTAGACTCCAAGGCACCCCTTGGAAAATGCCAGCTCTTAGCTTTTGCTCCTTTCTTGACTACTAAAAAAGAATAGAACTATTCTTCTGTTGCAACAAACTCAGAAAGACCACAACAGGTCAGAATGTTTTTAATGCTATTCCTATTGGGATTCCTATTTGAAATCTCTGAGTTCACCTTGCAAATCATGCATAGATGTTTGCACACCTAATATTACATGGCACCCCACAACACCCATTAATAGGATCTCATGGCACCCTGGTTGAAAATCACTAGTATATGATCTTGCTATCCTTCTTTGTCTGCAGTGAACTCTGCAAACAAGAATTCCCTGAGTCCTTCCAGTTGTCTGTTTGTTCCAGTGTTTTGCTTGTACTTGTTTTGTAATTATTAAATGAAAATATCTGGAGCTTCACCTGTGCTCACATTATAACTAACCATGTAAGCCATTCCAATGTGTGTTTAATCTTTCTGTTCTTTGGAGCAATATAATTAAATTTCCTTAAGCTTTGCTTATGGTACAAAATATTTCAGTTCCTGATAAAGTAATACATTTGGCTGCTCTAGAGATTACAGCTTTGTTCTAGTTAATTCAGTGTTAAGCAGCAGCCCCCACTGACAACCCTTCAGTTGCTCCACTAATGACTTCTGTTGCCACGATTTCTTGTTTACACTCCTTTAAATGCCCAGTGTACACGCACACATTCTGTATTCATGCTGATTAATTATGAATTGCAAGCTTTTGCAAAAATCACTAAGCACCACCATTAATATAATCTTACCAACTTTTATGTATTAAACAAGAAAATTAATTTTGGCCCTCCTAAATCTCATATCCTGGCCAAAGGGCTTTTCTTCTGCCAAATATTCTTGTTCTGATTAATTTAATTGAGATCAGTAATTCTCACTAGTGATGGGCTGAGCTGGGTATTCTGTGATGTGCTTTCTCCTAATACATGTGCTAGGCTAAAATGCATTTTCCAACCTACATAAGGCACTAGCTAGCAGTAGTTTTTGTATATGAAGAAAGATTCTTCCTAAACTGCTGGCAGTAATGGTTAAATTATTTTTTATCATGTCAGAGACAAGGCCATAAACTTGTTTATTATAATATTTAGAAAAAACAAAAAAAAGGAGAGGTCAGATTCTATTTACTGATGATACATAGGTGGGAGATTCAGAGCATCAAACAGGGAGTAATGGATGATTGCAAGGCTGGATGAATAAAGATGGGATTAAATGTAATAATATAGAGTACATGACTTTGCATTAAGGAATTAGTAACAAGACCTTCTGCTATAAGCTGGGAGCTCCATAGATGGAAACAACAGAGAAAGACTTGGCTGTACTAGTTGATTACCAGTTTATGAGCCAATATGATGCATCTGAAAAAAGTAAATGCAATTCTATGATGAGATCTTTCAGTAGAGGTATTAGTACCTCAATATCTTGCTAGCATAAAGTCTCATTTAACATACAGTGAGCAGCTCTGATTGTTCATACGAAACAAAAAAAATTAATTTGAACTACAGTTAAGTCTGTCTGTGTTCCCACAATCAGCAGGAAGGAAAGCTTATTTAAGAGCCTAGCTTATTTGGCCTAGCAGAATGTAAGTTGCATGAGAGGGCTGATTTCTACAAATACACTAGAAGAGAAATGACCAGGGAAGAAACAGAACTATTTAAGTTTTAAGGATAATAGCAGATAGAAAATAGGCTTTTAAATCATGAGAGCAGTTAAGGTCTGCACCAGCCTTCCAGTGGGAGCAGGGACAAAATGAAAACCATACACTTGTTTTAAAGGAGCATGTTTAATTAATGGAAAGGATTATATGGTTGCCTGCAATAGCAGAGGTTAGGATTTGATGACCCAGGAGGCTTCTTCCAATCCTATGTTCCTAACCCCCACTTTTTCTTCCAGAATGTGTGAATATGTTGATCACCTGCATGAACATTTCAAATATCCTGTAATAATCAAAAAGGCTTGCTACATGCCACCACAGGTATGCTATCAGTGTGTCAGCTGTATTTCAGTGGTACAGTAAAGAAAGCATCTTTGATACAAGTAGTGGAAGACTTTTAAAAGGTCACTACCAAAAGGGCCTGTAGTGTGCTAGTACAGTAAGGCATAGCATAAACTTGGTGATTCTGAACAGCAAAATAAAAAATCCAAAAGACACTCTTGAATCTAGAATATGACCATGCTTAGAACCTCAATCCAAAGCAATTCTCTGGTCTTAGTCTTGCATGTTTTATTCAACACTGCTGTTAGCATAAAAAGGAAGGATAGTAAATTGAAAGGATGTTTTCAAGTAATGCCCAGCATGGCACCCAAATGAAAAATTATATATTCGTATTCCAAAATTGAAGACCATTGTTTAATTACAGGCCTCTTAGGGGGGAAAAAAAAGAACACAAACCTGGACTTTTCAGACTTCTATGTAATATTTGCTTAGAAATTAGAATTTCAACAATGCTTACAGCTGATATTATATAAAATAAGTTGCGCAAAAAATGAACTTTCTTAAAACAAAGTCATGGAACTAGTTTGCTCCTTGCAACGTTATCATTAATGCAAAAAACTTTTCTTTTTGCAGGATGCTGGATATTCTACTGAAATGAAAGAAGATTCTACAAGGAAATACCAGTTTCCACAGGGAGAAGTTTGGCAGAAGCTCTTGTCTGGCCATAAGATATATCTGCATTAAGTTTAACCATGAAGGTTTTCAGGCTTAAAATTAAATTCCCCAATGCATGCTGCTAATGCAGCAAGATTCCAAATGAAAGTGAACAGTTCTGTACAACTGGGGGGAAAGCCTTCAAAAAAGTAACCTTGACTACTAAATTATATGTTATCTAGAGTTTTAATTAGTTTATGGTGATGGATGGAATCTTAACATTCAGACTATTGTATTATTGTAACCATAGGATGCATTAGAGAGTGAGTTTCTAAAACAAATCCCCATTTTCAATTACTCTTATTTGCTGCTTAAATTTGTTTAAGTTTAGGGTATTAAAATAAAATTTAACTTTCAGCTGCATTGTCCCGATTATAATAATACATAATAGTTTTGTTTATAATTAAGGACAAATCTATTCACTATAACGTTGCAACAAAAAAGTTTCAGCTGGACAGGATAAGAGGGGAAGCAAGCAGTACAAGGAGCTTGAGAGAATTCAACCCCTACACATTGATGAGAGAGGTCCTACTGATTTGCATAAATGTGTATAGGACATACAAGCACTTGTCCTGCAAATGTTAGTAGATATGTGAAAAGCTTTATTTCTTCATTAGTTGTGTACATAAACACAAGTTGGTCTGACAGGCAGCTCTGTGAAAGGTAGTAATGTCATCTGTTAAAGTTAGTTATGGGAAAACATGAGACATTGACTAAGTCTGGCAATTTGTAAACTCCTCAAATTCAGACAGAACTACAACCTGCCTTGCTGTCTACTAGCTCACTTGGCCAGACCAAGAATTTAGAAAGCAAACCAAGATACTATAAAAGGACAACATTTAAAAAACTTAGAAGTATAGCTGTGTACAAATAGGTACTTCTGTTTAGTACCACCGTTTAATACAAACTGAGCCAGTCTACACAAGATGCTAAAGATGTAGACTAGTTTTACTGTACATTAGCACGGGCGGCAAAAACCATGGTAATGCGCAGTAGAATTAGTCTCTTGTGCATCAGTGTCACAGAAAGAGCATGCACTTATGCTGCTGCTCAGTAGCGCTGATTATGGTGCATTAATCTAGTACCTGTAATTACAGGTACTATCATTAATGCACCGCAATTACGGCACATTAATGAATGTGTATACGTGCCCAGTCTGTAACAAAACCTTCAAGATGTATCACTCCAACAAATAATACATTTATAAAACCAGATTTATTAAAAACTCATGTCACTGCTTTCTCTATGAAGCACTTTTTTCAAAGGTAAAACCATACTTTTCTTTATAAACAATGGTTTTTATTTTAAATGTATATTAATGCATAAACATTCAATGTAGATACATGCTAAGAACAACAAATATCTCTCTGGTCTCATTGGAGACTACAGTGCTAAGAATAGCTGTAAAGTAAATATTAGTTAAAATGCTAACGTAAGCCACAGCAGAATCAGTGCACTTCCTAAATGATTTATACACAGTAGGAATAGTATGCAACCCAGAACCAACAAATGTAACTTGAATATTTGCACACTTATACATGATTAGTAAATAGTGAAAAAAGTTAGCACTCTCAAGACTTAAGTTTCACTTCAATCCAAAAATCTCATGAGCAAGGGGGAATCATTCATGGTCTTTGTGTCTGGTCCCCCCCTTCCCCTCAGCCCCATGTGTGCGCGCACACACACACACACTCTCTCTTTTCCCTCCCCCCCCATTAAAATCCACCCTGTTAAATGCAAGCGTTCCAAAGAATTACATGCATTAAACAGCCATCTCCATTTTAATAGCTGGGTGAGGATTATAGTCTTCGATCTTAAAATCTTCTGCTTTGAAGTCATTGATGTTTTCAACTTTACGAAGAATTCTGAGTTTTGGGAAAGGTCGTGGTTCCCTCTCGAGCTGAAATTTAAAAATAAGTCTATTGTGCAACCAGTCCTGTACAACATAAAACCAAAAAGCCAATGGTAGGTAGACTTCCTAGATAATTAGAGGGAGGTTGTACATGTTAATAAAACTTGCCTGCAATGTTCTCAGTTCTTTCACAGCATTTAAAGTTTTTTTGATGGAAGAACAAGGCTTAAATGAAGAAGTGCCTACTATGGATAAGTGTACAACAGAATCATTGGTTTGCAATCCAAACATGATCACATACACAAAAAACAGAATTCACTAAAGGTGCCACTATTCAGCTAGCTTAGTAGAAGCTAACCAAATAATGTTTATTAGAAGCTAAGAATTTAAATAGAATTAAGAATTTAAATAGAATAGCAGTATAAGATTTTGTAAGAGTGAAGTAAAAAAGTCAAAGTTCAGATTTAGTTTGGAATTCAAATTAAGATTCTACCGTATTTTATTTGTAACCCAGTTCAAGTTGGAAGGATAGCATAGCACTCAATTCACATAGTAAAATGGTGAAGATACATTAAAGGATTGACAAATATAAAAGTGTTGACAATATGCAGTACCAAATTTGACAATACAGGATTACTCTGAGTTGGATAGCTACCTCTGTTACATATATATCACAAACATATACTTACTTGAACTTTCAAAGGTTCAATATGATTCAAGTATATGTGAGCATCTCCTAATGTGTGTATGAACTCACCAACCTGAAGAGAAAAGGGGAAGAGAATATTGGTCCTCAAACAAATATATAAGACTCGTTTAGAACATACCCAGCTTTACAGTGCTTGTGTTAGATGTTTTGATGCATCTATTTCTGAAGTGTAATCCCTGCATCAAGTTGTCTTTATCATTTTTGTGCCATTTAAAAAACATTTTCCCCCTAGAGTAACTGATCATTAATTAAATTTTAAATCATTCTTAACTACCACAATGGTGCACCAGATAGCAAAGAAACATGTCATATTGCTCTGCAAATTTAAGTAGCGAGAGAGAGTGAGCAGTGACAGCTCTTCTTCATCTATATCCAATCAAAAGGCTAGGTATTAAAGTACATCTACGTTGGGAGGCAACTACCTTACCTTTAGGCCTGTCACATGAGCAATCATGTACGTGAGCAGTGAATAACTGGCAATATTGAAAGGCACTCCTAGTCCCATATCTCCAGATCTCTGATACAGCTGGCAAGAAAGCTCGCCATTTACAACATAGAATTGGCAGAGAGCATGGCAAGGGGGTAAAGCCATCAAGGAAATATCTAAAATAGGAACAGGGAAGAAAATAAAGTAGTACAAACATCAGAATATCACAAAAGCAGAAAATCATGCATTAATATAGAGAGGGCAAACTGGATAGATACATCTAATGGCAATATTGTAATTCTAATGTTTTTCCCCCTGTTAGGACTTTCAAAACTGGCTGTTACTAGTTCCCAATGTTACCTGTGTAAAATTTTTTGGCCATACAGTTATTGATAACAAAGTCAAAACCAGAAATTCATCTGAAATAAGTTTTAGGTCCTAATGCTGCTCATAGTCATACTCATCTCACTGCATGCATAAGCAAGTGTGTCCCCTAAAGCAGTCACTTGGTAACTGGCTGCTATTTGTTCCATCTTCATCTCTTCTAACTGAGAAATCTATATTGCTGGTTATGTTGTCAAGTGTGCTGCTGCCTCCAGGAGAGCCACTAACAACAAAAGAACACTGGTAAACTTGAAAAAACAAAACAAAAAACAAAACAAAACTTTGTTCTTCTATTCCTTCCGAAGTCTTTAGTATAATCCTAGGATTTACCAAATGGTAAAACAAACAACAACTGCTTAAATATAAAGGAAAAAAACATTGTTTAAAGGAAGTTAAGAATAAACCAAAGTTAAAATGGAGTTTTCTGTAAAATATCTTTGCATAGTAATTTTTTCAAGGGTGATGGTATACATTTCTTCTCATTTGCCCTAGAAAAGATCCAAATTTATACTTGAAGTTTTAAGGCCTGGACCATCAGAAGCACGAGAAATTAGACTCCTAATTGTCTCCAACCTTTTATGAAGTGTTGCATCATAGATCACCTGTGTGAACTGCCAGGTTTCCTTTACAAAGTCATCAAAAATATATATCTTACCAGAAAACAGACAGTTGGCATACTACATTAGCTTTTCAGTCTCAGTGAGCATAACAGTGGCATAGCTCATGCAGTCATAGTGTGTTGTGCAGCTGTATGCACTTTGCACATGCATACTGTTCTGTACCTTTAGGATTCCAAGCACACATAATGATTCTTCTGTCATCTGGATTGTTTTTGATTGTATCAATTACTTTCTGCAGCTGGTCAACTCCTTGGCCTGAATAATCTGGAAAGAGTTACCAAATGAAACTTGAGTCAAACTTAAATTGTTTTATATTCCACTTATTTGGAAGCCAAACCTATACTCTTCAAACAAGTGACACTCAGTATTCCTTCCTGCATGCCACCTTGGAGTGAAAAAGCCTTACTTCTTGTACACTGAGTTCCATCTCCAAACTAACCTTGTGTGCCTCTTCTTTGGAAAATACTAGTGACATTAACAATTTATAGTTTCATAGTTTCTAGGGTCGGAAGGGACTTGAGCAGATCATCTAGTCCAACCCCTGCCATGGCAGGAAAGAGTACTGGGGTCAAATGACCCCAGCAAGGTGTTCATCTAACCTCCTCTTAAAAACCCCCAGGGTAGGAGCCTGCACCACCTCTCTTGGAAGTTGGT